ACAATTGTATTCTTCAGATAAATCCCATTTAAATGACATAAAATCTTTTAAATGTACCATTAGTATCTCTCTTCCTTCCTTTCTTCATTCCTTTCTCTTTTCTTCCTTCCTTCCTTCCTTCCTTCCTTCCCTCTTTTTCTTTCTTTTATTCTGTGATTTGAACCTCCATTAATGGGTAATGTTGATCTCTAGGCTTATGTTTTTGTGATGCCTTTGTCTGGCTGTGCTGTCACAGTAGTGCTGGCTTCACAAAACAGATGCAGATGTGCTCCCTCTTCTATTTTAGACAGAACTTGAAAAGGGTTGATATGAGCTTTTCTTTAAATGTTTGGGGGGAATTTATAGGTAGAACTATTTGATCCTAGGCTTTTGCTGTTGCTCTATGCTGTTGCTCTAAGCATTTTACATGACTAATTCAATTTTAAATAGATATTTTGTAATTTTCTATTTTTTCTTGAGTCACTTTGTGGCAATTTGTTTTTAGCTACTGTTTATTTATTCTAGGTTGTAAAACTTGTTGACATAAGTCATTCATATTTGCTCATAGTTTTTTTTTTCTTTCTTAAAGTTAGCTGCACATTCATCTGGTTTTAGTTATCTGCATCTTCTGTCTTCTCATCTTAGTGATAAAGGTTTGTCACTTTGTTGATGTTTTAAAATAAATGTTTGCTTTCAAAATGTATTGCTTCTGAAAAAATGATACATGCCTGAGCTGCTCTAAAAATGAGTTGTCTTCCGCATTCTTGTCCCCCTGTCTCCCTATCACATGTTTATGGTTCCTTCAAAATCATCACGATTTGGCTAGAACTTCAACTAGCTGCGGTTAACCAGAGACCATAACATTATTTCTACCACCTGCTGCCCACCCAGAGTTATACCAGTAATGTCTACCAATTAGAATCTCTGCCACATCCAGGTCTCAGTGTTTTTTCTCATGCAGCTGTATCCACAAAGAGTGCATTCTGGATTTTCCAATGCCTCCTGTAGCATCATGGCCCTCCCTGCAGCATGTCATTAACAATAGTACTGGGCATAAAACCAGACCCTGATGGTTTTCACTTTTATGCTACTTTTACACATCATGAATCAAGAAAAGGAGCAGTAGTATATGGATGTCATCCTTTCCTTCCCAACCTACTGTTGCCTAACCCTGTCAAACAGTATGTCACACCCTATCACCGCTAAGTCTTCTTCCCAATGCTAAGCTACTGCTAAGACATCTGTACTGAGCTCCAGATCTAGCACAGAGATGTGAACTACAGAAGGACAATGAATTAGTTCCTTAACACTGTTCTGCACAAGACCTATTAAGTCATTTGGTAGAGTTGGTTTTTCATTTGCAAGTAAAAGGTAAAGCTTCTGACTTCACATCTTTCTACTCAAAGTTTATTTGAATGGAAGGAAAAGATCTAATCTGCTACCTTTATATTAAACTTAATTGAAACTTAATTACTACTTGAATGATCTTTTAATTGTTTTTCTGATGTGTGTGTGTGTATGTTTGGTGCGCGCATGCTTGCATATGTGGGTGTTCACACCTTGTGTGTGTGCACATGGATGCTAGATGAAGATATCAGATGTCCTACCTTGTCGACATTATTCTCTTGAGACAGGGTCTTTCACTGAACCTGGAGCTAGGATGGCAACCAGCAAGCCCTAGCAATCCTTCAGTCACCATTCCCCACTGTGCTGGAGTTATATGACCTTGACTAGCTTGTGGGCTGGATATTTGAATCCAGATCCTTACACTTGCTCAGAAAATGCTTTTATCTGCTGAACATTCTTCCCAACCCCTCATTTCTATTTTTGATAATGTAGTCTTGTCTATTCTTCTTTCATCTAGACACTTTTCATGATCTTAGAAAAGATCTTAGAAAAAAAATCCTTTACAAGAATCTGGAGTTACTAGCTTTTCTTGTTTTAACTTTCTATGCCTTGTTGTCTTACTTTATTTCTTGGCACAAAAGCTCGGAAAATCATGTATATTTTGTTTTGAAGACCAAAAAAGAAATAACAATATAATGACTGCTTTATCTATATGCATCATATTAGTCCAGATCATGTGTGACCAAACTAATAAAGTGTAAAATCCTAGAACTCACTAGTTTATTTTAGTAGGTCACAGGAAGCATAGAAACCATAGAAACCACAGTGAACCCAAAGCATCTCTGATGAGAAGAAGCAAGGATGTTTGTATTCTTAAAGTACCAACTGAAAAACCCCATCACAGAAAAGTAAGGAAGTTACAAAGGACACCATCAAAGTGCCTTCAGAGTATTAATAAGCCTTTCTTGTTCTGCTATCACCTCTTTGGACATGTTATCCTCACATTCTCACTTGGTTGTGCCTTGCCATACATGAGTGGCAGAGAGATAGGTTTTGATTCCAACTTAACTTTCAATTTGAATGGTTTAACCTCCAACAGGGTTCAAATGAATCCTTTGAAGTCACTTGAGAGAACTTAACCTTCAGTTAACCTTCAGAGTGATTTCAACATGATTTTAACCATCTTATATCCAGTGTCAGTCATCTTACAGTCATGCCTTTGATAGAATACTCCTTAGCTAGCATGTGTTTTGAATATAATGTAGCAAGGGAGAATCCTTGGTGGGTCATGTCAAGGTGTGTCCTGATGAGATTATGCCATGAAACAGAGCTGGTATAAAAGAGGTTTACTGGAGAAGGGGAAAGAAGAGGAGAGGAACCTTATAGAGGAGATAGAGACAGACAAGTGGATATGTAGACAGACAGACAGACAGACAGACAGATAGACAGATAGAGCAGAGAGAGAGAGACTCATGGGGCAGAGAGAGGAGGCAGAGATGAGCAGAGAGGGGACACAGAGAGAACAGAGAGAGGGAACTCCAACAACAGAGAAAGAGCTGGTAAGATGGATGGGTTCTTTCATCCACTGCACACGTGACAGCATCTAGTCCAGTGGAATTGCCTGTATACTAACAGCAGGTATATCAGAGCTGTGAGGTGATGATGCATTTTCTTTAGACTACCCAAAGGCCACATCACACTCATCTTCCAGCCTAAAAATCCTGAAAAACGTGAACTCATTGCTGGCAGATAGCTACAGTTTTCAAATTCACACAAAAGCATCTTTTCTGTTTTCCTTCTGTGGATAAAGATTTTAAGATGTAAATTCTCAATTTTTTAACTATTTGTATAGTATAAGTGATATGAGGGTGATAAGAACACCTTGTGGTTTCCTAAGATCCACTCTGAGCTCCCAGGGGACATCTTCACTTCCTACTACACTTTTGCCTTGTAAGGCCTAATCTCTAGAGGCAGACAGGGGATCAGAGAGTAGGAGTAGGCAGTTTAGGTCTGTCTTATGTCCTGTTTTGTTAAAACCTAGCAACTGATTTTTAGCTCTCAATGATAGCACTTAGGGGATGGTTTTATTTTGTTTTTGACTCTTCAAGTTATAAGGAAGAAAACAAAATTTCCTAAACCCTGGAGATTTTTTAGTAGAAATAGATTTGTGTATCAAATGACAAATTAACGGGGGAGAAAATGAAGTATATTTAATATTTGGGAAGAGTGTATATTTCTCAAACATGTGGCTTTGTGTTCTAACTTGTATAGAATCTTCAACAAAGAAGAGTAACCATTCAAAAAAGTGGCAAGACAAAAGAAAAAGGAATTTACATCTCTGAGTGGTAAATTGTGAGACAGTTGAAAAACGGCAGCAAAAGACTAGTTTATAAAATTTGAGAGTGCTGATTCTTCTGGTATAAGTTCTAGGTTGATAATGATCTCAAGGTGTCCTTTGTGGTTAGCCATTTCTCTTTAAGGTGGGAGGACACATTTTGGCTTCGAAAAATGTGTGTTCTGCTTTTAGGCAAGAGGGAGGGCAGAGAGCTTTCTGCATTTATAGCTTCTCACCAACCACCAACAATATACCAACAAATATGGCAGAGACATGCTCTGGGGTAAGTGGATCTCCTGCAAAACACAGGGGCTCTAGAGCCAGATCATTTTTTTTAATCTACCCAATACAATGTTTCTCTTTGTCTTCAAAATGCCATGGCTAGAATCAGTGATCTACAGAGTGTGAAAATGGAGAGTGAAAAGTGGTTCTAACCAGGGGTCTCGATCATGGAAGTGGATCTGTTCTAGAACCAGAAACACAAGTTTTCTGAGAAAAACTGGAGACCTTTTTGCTTTACAAAACCTAATTTTGTTGCTAACTTGCTGAAATCTGGAGAGGACTGCCCTGCTGCTGTTGTCTCCCACAGTGGCTGCACCCTTCTGTCTACTGCTCTCAATAAGGCTTTGGTGCTTTTTGTTGACACTTCTGAATGTTTACCTCACACCAGTTCATTCATAAGCTGTTTTTATTCATTTACCCATCCAAGGCTCCAAGAGCTCTTATGATTCATGTTTGACACTGGGGGAAATCAAAGCATAGAAGACCCTGACTGCCAGGTCTGTGGTTTCTGCAGAATTCCAGAGGCCAGCTCAGATAACTCTGTCCAGGTTTGCAGAAAATTCAGAACATTCCTAAGTAGGTGCTTTATAATGCAAATTTTGTTTTTTAAAAAAGCCTCTTTCAGGCTCTGTTTATCATCATCACCATAATAACAGAGCTCTCCCTGCTAAAACTGTTTTTAACACAAAAGATCACTAAGCATTCCCCTTCACTAGAAAACTTCATTTAAGTGAGATTTCTACCAGATTTCAATTCACAGCACTTTGAAAGCAACACAGATGTCTCAGTGAAACCTTTCTGAATTGTATTCATTATGACCAATGGCCTCATTAGCATTTATTCTCTGGGAGTGATAGGTTCTATTGCACTTGAGTTACGCCAATTAACCCAGAGAAGAGAACAGAGAGTGGAAAAGCTATGATAAACCTATAAGACAAAGAAGCCCTGAGCTGAAATATACTGAAGCAGGGGGATAGGGCGTGGCTAGCTCACACTCAGAATTGCATAAGCAAGATTTCAAAATTAATCCTATAGAGACCTCAGCCCAGCATACAACACTCCTGGCTGGAAAAGAAGAACTGTAGATCTTTAGTTTTTTTTTTTTTTCAAATCTTTACCATCACTCTTTTATCTCCGCCTTCTCTTTCTGCAGGAAACTTTATTTCCTACTTCTGCATACCAAGTTTGTACCTCCAGATCTGTTACTGAGGAGCCTGAGATACCAGTGCCATCATAAAGAAGCCGTACCTGGTGAGTGATTTTTTTCCATGACTTTATGCATTTCCAAGCTTGAGGTGCAGGGCCCTGGGGAGACAGCCTGAGGTATTGTACAGCCTGTGCACCTGGAGGCAATGATCAAGATTTGGGGAAAGAAGAGAGTGTGACATGCACCAAGAAACATTAGAAAGACCCTAGTGGCAGTGCAGAGATGAGGGTGTTGCTGGGTGGGACCATTCTTTTGGGATCAGGTGATAAAAGGGGACAAGGAAGGAAGGAAAGGCACTCTACCTAATCAGCTTCTACACACCCACAGGCTTACTTTGTCTCTCTTAACATGCAGAGGGCTTACATTTCTGGAAGTTTATACCATGAAGTTTTTTACCTCTAGTCCATCTATGCCTTCTAAATTGTCTTTTGTCTCTCCTCATGAAAGCCACACAGGCCGAAAAGATTCTCTCTCTCTCTCTCTCTCTCTCTCTCTCTCTCTCTCTCTCTCTCCTCCCTCCTTCTTTCCTCCCATCATCTCTTTTTCTTTCTTTCGGGAGGCAGCTTCCCCACAGTCCTGGGTGCTAGCTATGTCTTAATGACCAAAGTGACACATAGGCCAGTACTTTCCACACTGCTTGGTACAGTAGTAGCTAAGTGCTGGCTATGTGCCATAGGGTTAGATGAACTAGCATTTGCCTAGTATTTTCCATAACAGCTGGAACTTCAGAACAGACTAGAACTTTAGTGCAGTGTAATTCTTCAGGCACATGCATTTTTCTTCTTGATTTTCATCAAAGATCTCATTTAGTTTCTGCAGTCTAGTGATACGGCTCAGTGATGTGAAATGCAAGCTTCATCTGGCTATCCCTTAAGGGATGGAAGAAGTGCTGTGCTATATAGGTGGATGAAAACAAATTCATAGTCACTATCAGGAAAAAGCAGTCAAAGACTAGTGACGTTACATTTTATGATCTTGTAATTATTATAGACATCTGTGCACTCTTTGAGTGAGCATTTACTGGTTACTCTTTTAGCCAGATGAAATTATAAGAGTCAGAGATTAAAAACATTGCTTAACCTCAGAGGAGTGCACGGTATGTAAAAGATGCCATGATAAGAGGTTACTTAGATTTCACAAGAGCAGAAGGGTTTGTCAGAGGTGCAGATCGGGCTTCACGAGAGAAGGGGACTTTAAGTAAGAGGTAGAATGAATAGGGGCCATTTTAGGCCAAGGGACAAGAAGAGAGTAAATCACTGAGGCATAAAGGAAGTGGTGAGTTTGGAGGAAATGGAGAGAAGACGGTTGTGGGTGTGCACAGGACTGGGAATGTGAGAGCAGATCAACCACTATGAAGTCCCACCACATCCAAGTCATGTGGCCATTGGGGGGTTTCAGGCTGAGGAGTGAGTATGCAGTGCTGACTGTTAGGGCAGACAGAATGAGGCGGATGAGCTATGAGGGAAGGAGAGATCAATACGAAGTGAGTAGCAGGTGAGACAAGAAACTAGCAGCCCATAGAGGGCAGAGAGGATGAGTCTGGAAAGAGTATAGGGGTAGAATTCTTATTATTCTTATTATACAGTTCTAATACAGAACATATATCTGTAGCAATGCTAAGCCCTCACCTCTGGTGGACCTCACAGCTACTTAGTGCATTTCTATACAGGAAAACAGATGCTTGACTGTAAATTACTCAGCTTTCACGTTAGAGGCAGGAGTTGTGAGATACATATATTGGACTTTTTTGTTTTGGAAAGTAGTATTTTTATTTATGTATATTGGACATTTTATTTATTTACATTTCAGATATTATTCCCTTTTCCCACCCACCCACAAAATCCCCTATTTTATCCTCCTCCTGCTTCTATGAGGATGTGCCCCCACCCACCCACCCACCCATCTGTCGGGCTGTAGAAGGGTATCTTGGTTCTCTGGTTGGCATGGGCCTGGAACTCTGAGACTGCAGGTGTCCGGCCATGCCCCCAGAACCCAGAGCCCTGACACGCAGTCTCATCTCCACTTAACCTGTATCGTAAGACACAGTAATGTAAGAAAGACGCAGTAACATAAGACACAGGTAGAGAGTGTGACTAACAGGCCTCTGACTCAAGAGATTTACATATTAATGAGTTATCTAAAGGCTGGAGGGCATAGATAATTAAATTATTCCTCCCTAGTCCCTCCTCTTTTCCACTCCCCTATTTAAGCTAGCTCTCCCCTGGCTCTGGGGGTAGGCATTCACAACCAGATCCAACTACCATCATGGACAATAAAACTTTCATCTCTTGGACTCCACATGTCTTCTGGGCCTCCTGCCGCCAAGGTTCCAGCCTCTGGAACCCTAGACCTTCTCGAGTATGTGGAAACCCGCCCGCAGGAAAGCCCCCGGGACTCCGCTGCTGCCTGCCCTTGCGGGTTGCTGCTGCATGGGCCTGAGCCGCCCCACACATGTTTTTTTCCCACACCCACCCACTCCCATCTCCCTGCCCTCAAATTCCCCCACATTGGGGCATCCAGACTTCATGGGACCAAGGATCTCCTCTCCCACCTATGCCAGACAAGGCCATTCTCCCTTACATATACAGCTGGAACCATGGGTCTCTCCATGTGTGTTCTCAGGCTGGCAGTTTAGGCCCTGGGAGCTTGGGTTGGTTAGTATTGACACTCAAGGCAGGAATTTTTTATTTTTGAGATGTTTATTATTATTATTATTGTTATTATTATTATTTTATTTATTTTATATGTATGTGTCTGTATTAGTAAATGCAATGCAAGTTCAGCTGTCTGCAAAGACCAGAAGAAGGCATTGGATTCACCACAGGTCCTAGGAAGTGAACTTGAATCATCTGAAAACCAGTAGGTACTCTTAACTGCTGAGTCATCTCTCTAGTCATCTAATTTGGAGGCAGGGTTTGAAGCTAACCTCATTGGTTCTGACAAACAACCTTTAGTTTTCTGAAGAGGAATGATTTGGAATAATACCAGAGTTTTCTTCTTACAAAACGTAGTGTATGATAATAACTAAGATGAAGACCTCATCTTAGTACACTGCCTGGAGGTTTTATGACATGTGCAGGGAGGTGTCACAGAAATAATAAGCAGCCACGTAGGTGTGTCTTTCTAGAAGCTAAAAACAAAGTTTTAAAGAGTTATCTGTTAATTTATTTTGTGTAAGTATCTATGCCTACTACAGTTTATGTGACTTAAGTGTGTGTAGGTGCCCTAAAGCCCCAAAAGTGATAGATCTCCTAAAACCGGAATTAAGGTGGTTAGGAGCTCCCTGCTGTGGGTGTAGGAAATCAACTTGGGTTCTCTGCAAGAACAGTAAGTGCCTTTGACCACTGAGCCATCTCCAGTCCCTTAAAAAGAGTTTTGAATAGGGGAAATTCATGCTCAATGAAAAGAATTTGGAATGAAGCTAAGGCATTTGACATTGAATTATTGAAACCTTATCAAAAGAAGTGTGAGAGGAAGGTGGAGACAGAACTTGAGAGGGTTTTTAGAATGCTTTTGGCTACAAGGAATAGATGATACAATTTATGACGGTTTATTTTCTTTCTGAAATAAGAAGTCAGAACGTGAGCCCTCTGCATGGCTTGTCTAGGTCTTTGTAGTCCCAAGCACTAAGCCTATGCAACACAAGTTGAAAGAGAAGGGGCCGGCAGTGTCTCTTCTGTATCTCTTTTGTTGTGGAAGAAACTCCCTAGAAACCTCCTAGCAGACTCTAATTACATCTAATTGGTTATAAACCTGGTCATAAACCTGGTCACCACATGCAGAGAAGTAGTAGATGAAGACATGCCCTTGTTGTAGCCTTACACTGAGGAACATGCTCACCAGAGAATACCTAGGATGTTAAGGAAATGGTTGCAGAGTTGACAAGCTGTGACTGCTGTTAGGAATAAAAGAAAAGTGATGTACACACAGTATCAAGGAGATGACTCTAAAGGAGAAACCAAGGGCAGGGATGCTGCTTAAATGGGGCTATTTGGATTAAGGAATTTGATGTGTGTGTTTATAAGTAATCATTTTGTTCTCTTTCGACAGGATCAAAAGGGAAATGGAAGGCAGTAATATGTTACCTCAGTTGATCCATGGCGTACTATCAACATCTCATTCTCTATTTATAAGAAGTATTCAAGAGCTTGAAGGGGCTACCACACCGTATGACTATGAAGACGGTGAGCCTTGTCACAAAACCAGTGTGAAGCAAATTGGAGCCTGGATCCTGCCCCCACTCTACTCCCTGGTATTCATCTTTGGTTTTGTGGGCAACATGTTGGTCATTATAATTCTGATAAGCTGTAAAAAGCTGAAGAGCATGACTGATATCTACCTGTTCAACCTGGCCATCACTGACCTGCTCTTCCTCCTCACGCTCCCGTTCTGGGCTCACTATGCTGCAAATGATTGGGTCTTTGGGAACATCGTGTGTAAAGTACTCACGGGGTTCTATCACATTGGTTATTTTGGTGGAATCTTCTTCATTATCCTCCTGACGATTGATAGGTACTTGGCTATTGTCCATGCCGTGTTTGCTTTAAAAGCTAGGACAGTTACCTTTGGGGTGATAACAAGTGTAGTCACTTGGGTGGTAGCTGTGTTTGCCTCTCTCCCAGGAGTCGTATTTACTAAATCCAAACTAGAAGATAATCATCACACCTGTGGCCCTTATTTTCCACAACCATGGAAGAGTTTCCAAACAATTATGAGAAATGTCTTGAGCCTGATCCTGCCCCTACTGGTCATGGTCATCTGCTACTCAGGAATCCTCCACACCCTGTTTCGCTGTAGGAATGAGAAGAAGAGGCACAGGGCTGTGAGGCTCATCTTTGCCATCATGGTTGTCTACTTTCTCTTCTGGGCTCCATACAACATTGTCCTCCTCCTGATCACCTTCCAGGAATTCTTTGGACTGAATAACTGCAGTAGTTCTAATAGACTAGACCAGGCCATGCAGGTGACAGAGACTCTTGGGATGACACACTGCTGCATTAATCCTGTCATTTATGCCTTTGTTGGGGAGAAGTTCCGAAGGTATCTCTCCGTATTTTTCAGAAAGCACATTGCCAAACGTCTCTGCAAACAGTGCCCAGTTTTCTATAGGGAGACAGCAGATCGAGTGAGCTCAACATTCACTCCATCCACTGGGGAGCAAGAAGTCTCAGTTGGGTTGTAAAGTAACTGGTAGTTTGCCTTTCTTTTTTTATAAGCAGAGAAGGAGGGAGCAGTTTGTATATAGTAACAAGCCTTAAAGACAGTGATTCTTACTTTTGGGTCATGATCCCTGTGTGTGGGTCAAATGACCCTTTCACAGAGTTCACTTAAAACTATCAAAAATACATAGATATTTACATTATAACTCATAACTGTAGCAAAATTATAACTATGATGTAGCAACAAAAATAATTTTATTGTTGGTGATCACCACAACATGAGGAACTACATTAAAGGGTCACAGGATTAGGAAGGTTGTGAACCACTGCTCATAGCTCATAGATATATTGAACAATAGAGACCTATAAATTAGGTGTCCAGAACCTTAGGATTATGCCGCAACTGATTATATAGCTTTTCTTGTATATATAATACATGTTCAGGAAATATTTTAGAATAATCATTGGTAGATTCTTCAGCTTTCTAGTGAACTCTGCCCCTATCAAGAGCCTCATTGCCTTGTGGCAATACTATTTTACCAATCTTTACCATGTTTTCCCTTATTTCTAACAAGAAAGACATGGAATGTATAGGAAGGAGGGTGTGAGGCTATCAGGACTGAGTCAGAAGGGGCAGGAGATATGCACGGTTGATCCTGGGTGAAGATGGAAATGAGTGTGAGCAGGGACCTCTCATTTCTTTCTCATTTGGGAAGAAATGTCCTGGTCTTTGGTTCCTTCTCCCACCTGTGTTTAATTTTGAAGGCTTTATGGGGTTGTGGGAAATCTGGAAGCTGTAATAGCTTGTTGGGAACTTCATTTGAATCCCATGGTTGTTTTATACATAATTGCACAACACATTTCTGCTTTGTTATTTTTATCTATGACAGCATGGGAAATCCTTTCAATACCACGCTCCACTGTTTGTATGTTTCTCAAGCCACAGCTCTTTGCAGGATATTTACAAAATTATTTTTTATAAAGTATGCATCATTAGTGATTAGCCTAAAGATAATAAGGACTCTTGTTTGATCTTTCCAAGCAGATCAGAAGGCTGGAGGTAGTGAATGGCCATGAATGAGGAGAAAAGTCAATTCCTCCATCAGGCGTAAAGGGCTGCAGCAAAAAGGCAGGAATATGTGGACAATAGAAGTGGTGTGTTTAGAACCACATAGAGTCATAAGCAAAATGGTTGCCTCAGCACCAAGGGAAGGTTTCTGTCTGGATATAAGCTGCTTTTATATTATCGCTGCTATTTTCTGTCTCCCCACTACCTTTGCACATAACCTTTATCTCCACCTGGGAAAGGTGTATATGGAATAGCCAAACGTGAAAGCCTGGATAGTCCTAGGAGAGGAAATAAAGCACCATTATGTTTTGTGGGTAAAACAGGACTGGATGAAACAGGGACAGAAACCCTTGCTTTGAAAATAATTCTTGGGAACATATCTTAATTACCAGGCAAAATAAGCCTGGATAAAAAAATGATTATAGATGGAGTGGGAAGACATGTGTCACAGACTATCTTCCAAAGCCTTATTTTGGGATATAAACATAATTCAAATATTTAAAACTTGAAATTAGAAAAAAATAAAATCAAGACTTATAACTTTAACTTCTAAATGTGAGGAAATACCTCTGTAAGAGTTCTTACCTTGCCAAGCCTGAAAATAGTTCATTAGTTATAGAAAAAATTCTGGCTTTGAGCATATGAACTAAAATAGACAGCTCAGAATTGACAAGGACTTGGGTATTGGGGTCTGTGGGCTTACCCAACCATGGTGATTTAGACCCTCAGCCATCTGGATCCCAGCATATGCTACATAGCTGTCATGTGTACATGCAAGTGCTGTACTTGCTCCTCAAATTCCTCAAATTTGAGGAATTTCCTCAAATTCCTCAAATTTGAGGAATTTCCTCAAATTCCTTTGGATCTTTTGTCCTAAATGTGAGCTTGGTGACAGATTGTCCTTAGAGTGAATGGGAACTCCTAAGTCAAATTAACTTCTTATCAAAGATTTAAAAGTAAATATAAAAAGGAGAGAAGTTAGAGAAACTCCTTTTCATAAGAGAAATGTCTCCCCTGATTTGAGCCAAAAATGTTCTTCCCTGTCCACTAATGCATTTCTTATCTAACAGAAGCAAGAAACAAAGGAACAGACAACTTAAGAGCTGAAAGTCATTGTGGTCTGGTTTTACTACCACATGACGAGAAGAAATTTCTGAAAGAAGTAGGATATGAGAATGTCACCTTCAGATAGCCTAATAGTTTTATTTTAATGATAATAAGACGCAAGTATCTGTAAACCTATGATTTAGAAAATAAATCAATGCTCTGTCTATATTGCTAGAAATATTAAAAAGAAACGAGTATATGCTTTGTCATATCAGTGTGGTTGACTGTTTTGTTCAGAACTATACAACTCTTTCCCTGAACTACTTTACAATTGTATATACCTGGTACTTGATAGAGAAATATGACGTACAGCTTGCCTTCCAGGCTATACATACTTCTATAGCTAGTATTCTAGAAGACAAACAAAAGTGGCATCAATTTCTTCTAATTATAGCTCCAGCAGGGCTGAGCTGAGCCTCTTTTCAGTAAAATGTAGCCCTATATCTTGGTGAGTAAGCAGATCTGAGGATTGAAGCCAGGACCACAGCCACGGAGAAGAGGAGCAAGAAATCCATGACCACTATGATAAGCCACTGGGTCAGGGGGTTATTTGTTAAATACAATGCTGACAAATATACATGGGACAGAGTGTTTATTAAAATAATGTTTTTCTACTGTGCATGCAGACTGTGGTGGGTAAGATGAAAATGGGTGTCACTGCCATGATCTTCATGTCGTTTAGACCTTACAGCCCAGGTCCCTGTAGACAGACAGTGGGTACAGAGGGCTCAGATATGAACACATAAACTTTTTTTGAAAACCCAGAGGTTGGGGATTAACTCAATGATGGCCATGCATCACAATATAAACATCTATAGTAGGATTTTCTTGCCACAGAATAAACTGTCTTGTAGGAGTTACCTGCTGTGTGTTTCCAGAGGTGAGCTCTAAAGTCATCTGGGGAGAAGCTTTGAGTGGACAGGTGGAAGAAAATGGAAATAATTGGAAAAAATGGCCTTTTGACTGTCCCGTCAAAGGAGAGGCTGGGCATGTGCAGAGGGCCCTGCAACTACCTGTAAGGACTCCATTAAAACCTGTCCTTTTCCTGCTTTTACTCACTATTTAGACTTCTCTAACAAATGAAATTATTTCAAATGAGATTATCCAGCAAGGATGACTACCCAGGTATCTCTAAGGAGATAAGGAGTCTGGGCTATGAGTGATTCTGCAAGGCAGCTCAGGGATATAGTGGAAAAGAATGGGCATAGGTTTAGGGAGTGACCACAAGAGGTTATGATTTGTTAGAAGATATGAACACTTGATATACTGTCTTTGTCCTTGTTCTATTGCTGTGAAGAGATACTATGACCATAGCAACTCTTGTAAAGGAAAGTACTTAATTGGGGCTTGCTTATTGTTTCAGAGGCTGAGACTATTGTCATAGTGGCAGGGAGCATGGCAGCATGCATACATAATGCTGAAGAAGTAGCTGAAAGATGTATATCCAAATCCATAGGCAGCAGAGAGAGCAAGACAATGGGCCTGGCTTGCGTCCTTAAAACCTCAAAGACCATCTCTAGTGACACATTTCCCCCCAACAAAGCCACATCACCTAATACTTTCAAATAGTGCTACTCTCTGAAAACTACACAGTCAAATCTATGAGCTTACGGGGAGCCATTTTCGTTCAAATTACCAAAATCTGCTCCCTGGCTCCCATAAACCTGTCACCACACTATAATTCAAAAATGCATTCAGTTCAACTTCAAAAGTCTCCATAGGCTATCAGAGTCTTAACACTGTTTAAAAGTCTAAAGTTCAAAGTCTTCTGAGACTCAAGGAAATCTCTTAACTGTAACTCCTGTAAAATTGAAATAAAAGAGAAGATCACATAGTGCCAACATGCAATAGTACAGAATATACATTGCCATTCCAAAAGGGAGGAAAGAGAGCACAGTGAGGAAATGCTGGACAAAAGTAAGACCAAAACTCAGCAGGGCAAACCCCAAACTCTGTGTATTCATGTCTGATGCCAACATGCTCTTCAGTTCTTCAACACCGTAACCATGACAATTCTTTTAAAGGAAAGCATTTAATTGGGATTTGCTTATAGTTTTAGAGGTTTAGTCCATTAAGATCATAGTGGGGAGCATGGCAGCATGAAGACATAGTGCTGAAGAAGTAGCTGAGCGTTCTATGTCTAGATCCACAGTCAGCAGGAAGAGAAAGACATTGGGCCTTGCTTGGCCCCTGAAACTTCAAAGCCCACCCATAATGGCACATTTCCTTTAAAAAGGCCACACCTACTCCAACAAGGCCACAATCCCTAATACTTTCAAATAGTGACACTCCCTGGTGACCAAGCATTCAAATCTATGAGAAGCCATTCCTATTCAAACCACCAGACATATTATATGTAACATTGAGAAGGTTCTGGTATGGTGAGGTATGTAGTATGTTTGTGAGTGTGTGTGTGTGTGTGTGTGTGTGTGAGTGTGTGTGTGTATTTATATAAATCAAGACCTGTATCCCTGTTGGCCTCAGCATAAAGTTTGGTCCACCTCAGCTGAGTAATTTTTGGTTCATTGACAATGACTATTAAACATTTTAATGTAATCTATTTGCAATATGAAATATTTTTTTCTCTTGAATAAAGTTTAATTGGTCCTTAGAGTCAATTGGATTCTGAAAGACTGTGCCTAAAACAAATGTTTTCTGTCTCAACTCCACCCCTATCCTTAACCCTGGTTTGTGGTCTACCTTGAGATGACCTCCTGTGCTTCTCCTTTCCTGGCATAGGTTAGCCATGAAGTAAGAGGATATGGCCAGGAGAAGGGACACATGTGTTTACATAGCTAGTCCCTGCCACAGGCCCTTTTATGTTGACAAAGGTGCCTGGAAAGATCAACACTAATTTGTTCTTCCTTCAGAGAACTCAAAGCTAGTGATGAATATCATGACTACTTATTAGATATGCAAGATTTTCTTCAACTGGGCTTCTTTCAACTCATCTTTGCTTGGTTGATAATATTACATATTAGTGGGCTCCTCAATACAACTGTAGACTTGCTGCCTCCTTTGATGACTGTGCAACTTAGTGAACATGCAGTATTGAGATACCTTTGATTCTTCATTTATAGACCCAGCATCTATCTTCCACCTCCAATTCCATCCCTTAGTCCCCTGTTCAACTGGATGACTACCCTATGAAGGACTGTGGTATAAGAAATGCAACACTTCCCTATTATAAGCACCTATTTCTAGTTTTCTACCTACATCTGAAGGGAGGGACTGCCCGGAGCCATCTAGGAGAAGCTAAAAACTAGCAGGTGATTTTCCTGAGATGGTTCACGGTAGACTGTAAAACTATGGTGGATGAGGCCAAGGGGAATACATTTTAGAATAGATTCCTACTATTAATATGATTTTCCTGTTATTATATATATAACAATTACTAGGTATTATCCCACCCTTTTGAGCAGATTTCTGAAGATCAATCAAAATGTACTGTCTAGAGATGCTATATAGACAAATAGATTATTTCTTAAATCTTAATTATGATTCTATAAATATTTCTGAAAGTATACCAGTAATTATTGAGCCCTTTATAACAGGAGTGCTATTAAAGCCATCTCTGATATAAAAACTGCAAGAAGAACTCTGCCAGTCTTCAAGTGTCATGCATTAATTGCTTCTGAGATATAAAGAAGGCATTTACAACTTACAACACATTCCAAGAGACCATAAAACAACCAAACATCATAAAAAAGATTTATTGTAGGTGTAAGGACAGAAGATAAAATATTGACTGGGTTTATCTATACAAAACTTCAATGATAACTTAGTTATGGTCTTTAACTCTCTATGAACCTGTAGAGCTAATGACAAATAATCAATAACTAGCCTTAGTGGGAACATATGTAAACATTCTCTGTTGTAAGCTTCTTATTTAATTTATGAGTTAAATTTATGTTTGAGCTTTTAGTGAATGTTTGTAAAAATAATTTAAAAAAAGGATGCCTAGGGAAAAAAATGTGATCTATTCCATTAGAAAAAGTATAAAAATGAAGGAACATTGCATGGCATTATTACATCAGAACTGCAGAGTAGAATAACTTAGACATTAAAAGGGAGCTTAGAAATTAAGAGAGAATTTTTGGAGAATTTTTAGAGAGAATTTTTGGAGAAGAGAAAGTTTTTGGAGAAAAACTTAAAAATAAAGATTTAAATCACTTTTCAAAGAGTCCTCTTTTTCTTCCTGTGACTTTTTTTTGTTATTGGATATTTTATTTATTTACTTTTCAGATGTTATTCCCTTTTCCCACCCCCCCCATAAACCCTTTATCCTGTCCTCCCTCCTGTTGCTTCTGTGAGGGTGTTCCCCCACCCATTTACCAACTCCCACCTCCCTGCTTTCAAATTCCCCTACACTGAGACATCCAGCCTTCACAGGACCAAGAACCTCCTCTCCCACCAATGCCTGACAAGGCCATCCTCCACTACATAAACATCTGGAGCCATGGGTCCCTCCATTTCACTCTTAGTTTGAACCCTGAAGTTCCTGAGCAGATAAGAGCAAAGGCTACTTTACTTAGTACCCCACCCTTCCCCGGCAATCAAGTGCTAAACATAGACTCTGGAGTTTATGGCCTCAGAGGAAAGACAGGCAGTCCAGTTACCTCTTCAGAGTAAGTAACTTAGATTTAAGACAGGTACATGTTTTAATATTAAAAAGTAACCCTAATGTCTCTCAAGACAAAGTCTTACTCCCGCTGATACTCTTTCCCCACAGCATTCTTTAAGAGTGAACAAGAATGCTGCTCTGCTGAGCATTGATGTGGCAGATACTTCTGATTACTCATGGCCTGAGGTAAATATTTCTATCTTTGTCAAGCTTCAAGAATGGCATATATAGCTTGATCATGCTAGCCCTTTTTGTCCTGGGAATACTTTTATTCCTGCTCATCATGTTAAAGCTTATCTTTAACAACATCAATGTGTTGGCAGCCAAAGTATACTGCTTGAAACGGAAAATGGACCTCCAGACAGAATTATTAAATTAACAGGCTGGCAAGCCAAGGATGAGTAAGATTCTGCACAGAGCCTTACCAACCTAAGACAGAAGTGCATTGCTTTTGATAATGCATATTTCATGATGGGTAAGGAAGACATTTTTATCAGAATGACCTAAGACAAGCTCAATCTTGTTTATGAAGTAAAAAAGGGGGAGATATGGAGAGCTTTAGGGGCTGCTTGGCAAGAATCTGAC